AAAGTCTAGTTCAATTCTGTAGAGCTAAAACGTGTTTTAAAGCCACAAATCTGGGCAAAAATAAAGCTCTTCTCTTTTATCTGTGCATTTCGAATTTAATGCTCAACTGATTTCTGTGGTTTCGGTTTGGCAATGGACGTACGAGCATATTGAAACTTACTCTCTCTATAATGTTTTACAGAAAATAAAGCTTTTGTTTTCAGATGAGATTCATTATACATAGTCGAAATGAATACGAGTTCGTTGTTGAATACAAGAAATAAATAGACCTTTCAATGCTTCCGCAACACTATTGCAAAAGTTTGTTTGTTGGATTTTAACTCCATCTTGTTTTGTATAACTTCTTAATTTGTACAACTCGCATATTTGTATAATATCGACTGCTGATACGCGAATGAAATTTCTGAAATTTAGTGACTTACCTGTTGTTTTCCTTCTTTTTGCTGACGGTTTAGGCGGGTTTAGACGTGGCTGATAAATCACAAACGTTTTAAATTGCGATTCATACGTGTGTTTCTGAATTAGTATTCTTAGAAGGTGGTAACGTTGCATATTGTCCGACTTCACTTCATACTGTCGATTCGGACAAGTTTGAACTTGTCCGAATCATGGATCAATGTTGGTAGATGGAAGATTCACGGTCGCCCACCCAGACGTATTCCGAAATTGCTGCTSTTTTATTTTGAAGAAAAATTWGCATCGTTCGGAAWTTGCATTTTTTCTGTGACGAGGGGTGGTCCGTGCAACTTGAGGACATAAAAAAGCTCAAAGCACGAAAGTGGTAGTGTTGCTTTCAGATCATCAGGGACTGTGGTGGGATGTGGTATGAAGCAAACTAATCTGTCCAWGTTCGGAAAAAATRTAATGTCGATACATTTTCATRAACCACTCTCTATATTTTTTGATAAATATTGTTCTTTAACAATATATCTACGGATTATTTTTTGTTGCTAATTGAGTTTGTTGAGTTGAGTTTACCCATTTGCTAACTATTCGAATTTAAAACTGAAAATTTTATTATTTTATCGAACTGCAGTTGCCGATGACAAACAAATGCTTTGCACATAATTATAAATTTTTGTGTATTTTTTTAAATAATTAACTGAAATATTCGATTTTGTTATTGTTAAATGTGTCCGCCTTTATTTCGGTTTCTTCAGTACTTTTGCATTCTTAGCTTAAATCCCACCTGTGTTCACTTCTTACTTCCTTGTTTTCATCTGTAAGCTACCCCCCTAAAAATGATCTCATTCATTCAATAGTAGGCGATCCTCGTGCACTCCTGAGCGTAGGCTTCTTCCAATTGTCTCCAGTGTAGCAGAGCTTAGGCTGTTTGGTTCTAGTTTTTCCCGGTGTGTCTCTGGATGTCGTCCCTCCACCTCGTCTAGGGTCGCCAACACTTTTTTTTGTTTCTCTAGGTCACCATTGGAGGATGGCCTTCGTCCACTTGACGTCGTCCCTCGACACATATCCAGCCCATCTCCACTTATTCCTTGCCACCGTTTCCATGACGTCTGGGACTCCCGTCCTTCTCCTTATATTATAGTTTTTTATTCTGTCGCTAAGGCTAATCTTGATTGAACGTTCGATGGCTTTCTGATACACTCTCAGGCGACTGCCACTTTTTTGTGTGAAGGTCATGGTCTCACGGCTTTACATCATGACCGGTAGAATTAAGTTCTTGAACTTTCCGATTTAGATTAATTGGGGGTTTAGGATTTCTTAGGATGTGATAGAAGTTACCATACTTTGCCCAGGTGAGGCGCACGCTTCTTGCAGACTCTATAGTTTGGTCGTCACGCTCTAACTTTATTTTATGGCCTAGGTACACGTATTCATTCACTGTTTCAATATTAATGTTGTCTAGGATGATCTGCGTGTTATAAGAACTCATGATATTGGTCTTATCTAAATTCATCTGAAGCCCTACTGCTATTGATTCATCTTTTAACTCCTTTAACATGTTGGTGAGCTCCTGATCATCCCTGCGAAACAAGACAATGTCGTCTGCAAAACGTAGTTGGCTCAATTACTTTCCGTCAATGTTAATGCCTTTTGACACTCAATCCAAGGTCTTCAAAACTCCTCCCAAAGCCTAGGTGAAAAGTTTTGGGGATATTGAGTCTTTGTCTTACTCCTCCGTTTATGCGGAGCTGCTACGAAAAGTGTCATTTTCGTAACAGTTCTTTATTAGAGTGGAAAATCGTGAGTCGTCACTAGCTTTATCCAATTCATTTAGTACGGTCCATTCTTCTACCTATTCTAAAAAAACTGAAAGAGTCCTATATTCAATGGATAGAGAACGGCTGAAATGGAAATAAATTCTTCTACCGAGTCAAATGCCTTTTGATAGTCGACGAACCCAAGCCGAAGAGGTACATTGTGTTCCCTACTTTTCTCCATCAGTATGGGAATAGTCGGTGATACTATAGCCTTTTCTAAATCTCGCGTCTTCTATGGGTTGGTGGAAATCTACTTTTTTACTCCGGTGTCTGGTCGGGATCTTGCTAAGTAACTCGTACAAGCTAGATAGGAGCCTGATGCACCTGTTACTTTAGATGTTGCTACAGTCTTCTTTCTTAAATAGGATTTTAACCTCGGCGTTTCTCTATGCTTCTGGGATGCGGCTCTCTCCACACTTATTGCGCAGGATCAGGATTTATTTTTGCAGTGTTGCTCCTCTTTTTTTAGCATTTCTTTCGTTATGCGGCCTTCTCCTCAAGCCTTGCGGTTTTTTATAGATCTCAGTGTCTCCTCTAGTTTAGATGTGTCGATCTCTGGTATTTTTCGTATGGTCTGTTTTCCTCTTGTCATACTGCATTTCAATTCCTTCATGTAAAGATGTCTTCAATTGCTTGCTGTTCAATTGATGAGTGTTATTGTTTCTTAGACCATTCCTTATATTTCTCTTTCCTTGTATGTCAATCGCTCTGTAGCCTGGAGAACCTCTATCTATCTCTCTTCGAGTCATTTGCAGATTTATTGTGGTTGCTCTAAGCTTTGATGGCGTACTTTTTTGTATTGAGTTTACTTGTTTAACTGAGGTTTGGATGCTTTTGGTTATTTTTGTGGAATAGGATGTTAAAGTCTCGGTCTTGTAGCGTCTTCTCTTTGTTTATGAATTCTAATAGTAACTATYYCCTGTCGTKTCTTGTGCTCAGACCGTATGAATCAAKGTTGGYCGGGTCTCCCACTTGTTTCTGTCTAGTTTCAGCTTTGAAATCGCCTAGGATTGGCGTGTGTTTTGCTCGCCCAAGCTCTTAGCAGTCGAGAGATCTTTGTAGAACTGTTTCACTTTCTCTTCTGCGGAGGCTGATGTCGGTGCATATATTTGGATGATCTTTATGCTGCGTTTTGCGTTTAGCTTTAGATCGATGTAGATAACTTGGTCTGATATCGCTCTGCTGCTGGTAATTTGGTGTTTGAGCCTATTATGGACGAGAAGAGCTACTCCCCCCAAATGATGGTGGTGGGCGGAGTTTCTTTGTAAAAGTTGATCTCCCGACTTTAGTGCTTTAGCACGGTAGATGTCTCCCCTGGCATTCTTGTCTCACACAGTCATATGATCATATGTCTTGAAGCTCCGTTTCAAGAGCCTCCAGATGTTCTTCTAGTCGCATAGTTCGGATGTTGTATGTGGCAACCAGTAAGTTCTTCTTTTGCCTTTCAATATGTATCGAACTTTTGGCTCACCCAGAATCCATGAGGCAGATTGATGTTGCAGTGCGAGATTACAAGCATTTTGCTCTACCCGCCTGGGGTAGTTTTTTTTTATTCGACATTTCCGTSGGGTTGCAAGGTGGTTGTRATTAAAACGACACGCTTATCTAGCGGGATGGCGAGTAGGTRGGGATATGGAAAGGATTAATTGTTGGCTGAAGGATTAAAGGTTAGAGCCTGRCTTTCTCGGGGGTCAAGGAGGTTGAACAAAACTTAATAGCTGGCGTAAGGCACAGTTTGCCAAACCCTATAACAGTCTATCCTCTCCCGGGATCGTAGAAATAATAGCTGTTCAATCACAAGGTCAATGTGTTGAATCACGACTAATTAGTGGTGGGAAAAAAGCAACTAATCGGTATTCGAGTACTCGTTACTCATCAGTATCCGAAATAAGAAATACCGAACCAAGCTACCAAAGGAGTATTCAAGTAATCAGTAATCGTTCTCGGAAAATCTAGTCATCCATACTAATCTTCGACTCCGAAGCCCAATACTCTCCTACTCGTACTCGCTCAGACTACCTGGTAATCAATACCAGTAATCCGAAAGCCGCGTTTCCTAATGAATGATCCTAAATTAGCAACGCCAACGGTAAATGAAACAGTTTCCCTGTAAAATGAAACACTTTTCCAGTTCCAGTTTCTTCTGCTTGCTACTGGAGTCCAGAAATTAAATTTAATTATTTCCTTGCTACCGTTGCACCTACACTTGTAACCTCGGTTTTGACCGGTTACCGATGACCGGTTTGACACTTTGTATATACCTGTAGGTGAGACTTGTGTAGCCATATACACGCACTAGCCAAATTAATTGCGATTTTTTCACTGACCCGCCTAATAATTTGAGTAAGATGCGAAAAATTAGCTATTAATGTGGCAAAATATTGCCAATAAACAGAAAATAAATTACTTTTTGACACTCTGCGTCTCTAAATTGAGAACACGGAGATTAAAAACAAGAGGCAAAAAAAGTTTTTTTGTTCATGAGAAATCTACATGTTTTCAGAATTCTTTAGTTGTGGTTGTTTTTTAAAAATAGTTAGATTTAGCCAGAATTATCTTCTGGCTGCTTTAAAAACAGCTTGAATTTCAGTAAAACATTCAAACTTTATGACCGTATTTTACTCGATTCCGAATTTTCTTTTTAAAATCAGTTTCAATATTGATATTCTGCACCAGTCAGTAATCCTTTCTACTTTTAACAAGTTTAACAACAACTAACATCTTAAAAAAAAAAAATACTGGTAGTACTGCAACAACTATAGGCATTTAGCTAACATGCTCTCTGAATAAACCCTTTATTTACTCACATGGTTAATGTGTAAGCAAATTATAATTTATTGTGTGATAACAGAATGACAAGCCGGAAACGTAAGCCAAAGTTTTATCTATGTATTTGGATCCACTTTATATCTTTCCAGAACGCAAACAAAGTCTTAAATTATATTACAGTGCGGTATCTAGACAAACCGCCCTCATGTTAGCGACATGTGTGTAAACCGCACAATTTTGCTTAGAATCCACGAGGTCTTCTTCATTTGCTCGTTTGCCTCTTGTCTAAAATGAAACGCGGCGTGAAAGACAGATACGCTGAGGAAATAGTATTTGTAACATAATTATTTAATAGCTTTTAGACTGCCTAGAAGTGGTATTTTGGTAATGATCATAATGCTTCTATTTCAAGCATTGACATAATAACTTTTGCATGTTGCTTTCTTCCGTTAATGTTTTTGATTAAAAACGAATATTTTTTTAAAACTTAACCCGATTTTCCTATAGAAGATCTTTATAGTAGGGAGGGGTCAGACACCTCATATAGAAATTATTTGTAACTCCAACTTATGTAAATATATATAATGTAAATATAAATAATATGTTGAAATAATTTTATCTGATATGCAAAACGTTGCACCTGATATTCGTGGAACAAGAATGGTTTCRAAAATAATTTCAAAAGTTTCGACTAGTTCTGCAGGTATAAACATATTTCCAAAATATTTCTACCTGTAGGGTTTGTGTTTTAGTTTACCACAAAATCTGATAGTAGAATAATTCATAAAGCAGTCTATAAATAACCAGACAAATTCCAATTCTGTATTTACAGGGTGATTCCAAATTTTCGTCATTCCTCTGGAGGTGTTGTCTTTCGGTGTTTTAATACAGAAAAAAAATTAAAAAATAATTAAATAAAAGAAAAAATTAATATTAAAAATTGAGAAATTTGCTAAAAAATATATTTAAAAAAACGGCAACAATGTTTTTTAAGGTAACCTGCCTAATTAACATTACGTAAATACCTGTTGCTTCGTAATTATTTAAAACTCCGGTAACCATGGATAAATAGAGAAAGTGACAATAAAATAGGCAAGGATAAACGGTAAATTCAACAGGATTCGTTGAATGTCTGAACGAACTTTTTCGAAATGTCAATTATTGTCCTCATAACCTCGAATTGATATTTTTACAAAAGAAACATACATTTGCCTCTTTAACTCCAAACAAGTTAGTGCCTGTGTAATCACCTAATTATCTACTCTTCTCGAGCAGCTTAACAAGGATAAACGGTCAATTCAACAGGAATCGTTGAATCTCAAACTCCAAACAAGTGCCTGTGTAATCACCTTATTATGCACTTTTCTCGAGCAGCTTCTCGTATTCGAGTTCGTATTACATACGTAGTAGGAATGTAGCCCTTGCTCAGTATTTAGTTGGAGCCTCGRAAAGTRTCAGTGGTTGTGCAATRCTCTGAGTGCMMCTGGAAGGCTCTGCTGCAATTATGTCCAACACTTGTTCCCCTGTGTCTGGAACTCCAACATCTATTGTCGTCCGCTGTCTCCCTGGAACCATTCTCCTCGCCCTTTGTTGGCGTGAATTCTTACAGCTTCTGCTATGTTAYTGTAACATTTCCCCTGAACTAATCGCATATCCGCAAATTCGTGAAAGGAAATTCTAAGTAAGTCACAGTTTGACAAATTATTGTTTTTATTGACAAGGGCTATCCACCTGTAACTACCTGTTAATGACAGAAAACATCATTGCCGCTGTGATTTTTTATCACAAAATTGTAGAACAGAACTTTTTTGATATCAAAAATTTTCGTAATTTGAAGCAAAGATCGTAATTTTGCTTTTTGAATGCTTAAGTATTCTAATTAAACATGGAACACTTTCTAAATAATGCTTAATAACAAAGTTGTAATTCGATTTTCAACTGTTAATATCTTCTAGAAATTATCGACAAATTTTTTTAAATATTTTTCTCGCACCTTCCAAGTGAGCCCATATTACACCTTAAAACGAATGACGCCAATTTTGAATCACCCTGTATAATTTTTAGTCACATTTATAATATATTTTTAATTGGGTACTCATTACAAAAACTAATTACAAAAAATAACTAACATTCAAAATATAATAATTTTCTTAAAAACCTTGTAATTGCGATTCATAAAATCGTCGGGAAAATTACTTCTTAAATAATTAGTTCTTACCGTTTCGTACTTACCATTTATAATTATCTGGTTCACACTTTCCTCGTCCACTCTCCTCTCCTAAAAATTAGGTGCAAACTGAGAAGTTAAATAACGTACTTTATCAAATACCTCACATTAAATAGGGCGTTTAGTTTGGAAGGAATTATCTTTCCATATTTCGGTGAAAAGTTTGTCATCCCTTGTTTTCGTTATAATTTCTCCATTAGGAAAAGACTGCACGTATATGTGAGAGAATCACAAATCCCGACATCCGGGATTAACTAAGGATCTAAGACGTTAAACTGATGAAAACTATATTACCGTTGCTACCTTGGTGCTAACACACAAGTTTTACCAAGTCGTTTCTGATTAAACATCTTGTAATGTAGCGCGCCGAAATCGTTGTTTGTTTATATCTTGATATTATAATAATTGACATGTTTTCTTTGTCAGCTTAACCGTTAAACTGGTTATAAAACTGAAAGAAAATTTCACATTACAAATCAAAAATTATAATCAATAATAGTAACATAACGTGGCTAGTGTGTATAGTCCTCCAAAACACATCAAATGGGAAGATATGAAGAACTTTTCTAGGAAAACATCTAGGAGACCGATTTATAATAAGCGGTGACTACAATGTAAAATATACGCACTGGGCATCCAGACTAATTACAACTAAAGGAAGGGAACTGCTACGAGCGGACGAGAGCTGTTCATTTGAAGGCGTTTCAACGGGCAAACCTGCATACTGGCCTTCAGATCCGGAAAAACTTCCTCATCTGATGCACTTTTACATAATTAAAAATGTATCAAACTGTTATATGGAAATTGAAGACAGTTTAGATCTTAATTCGGATCTTTCACATATTGTTTTGACTCTGAGCGAACATATCATTTCAAAGCCAAACAATCTGGGCCTAGCTAATAAAAGGACTGATTGAAAGATTTTTAGAATAATATTAGAAGATCGAGTTAATTCTCTCTAAGTCTCGGTACGCACTCAATAACAATTAGATTTTGAGGAGGAAAAACTAATAGCTGGTATTCAACGTTCAGCATAGAAAATACACCAGAAATTCAAAGAAAACTGGAAAATAACTAGCTTATATAAAGTGTGCAATTATTATCGGAAAAATAAATGTGAAGAAAAAATTGCAACAGTCCAGATCCTTACAAGATAAAACAATACTAAATAATCTAACATCTCCGCTGAGACGAAATATTAAACAGATAAAGAACGACACCATTGGCGAGTTCCTACTGAAACTTACTAATGGTTCTGGTTACCAAAATTACCAAAAACCTGAAAAGACCAATCACTCATGGTCCCCCAAGCGGAAAAGCAGACGGAAGCTGGGCTAAAAACAATGAGAAAAAGGCCAGAAGATTTGCAGATCACCTTGAGGAAATATTTAAACCTCATTCGGTTGATATCGCAGAAACATTGCCTTACTTATATTACACAGCAGAAATCCCGTTTGTCACTGACTGAAGTTACTAAAGAAATAAAAACTAATATCAATCCGAAAAAAGCTCCAGGATCCGACTTAATCACATTACAGATCCTCAAAGAATTACCGAAAAAAGTATTAATTAAGCTAACGAACCTGATCTATGCCTCATTTCGATGTCAGCGCCTGTCAGAGTTATGAAAGGTGGAAATCATGATCCAAAACGTTGAAAACCTCCTCATGAAGCAAAGTCATATCGTCAACATCACTACTACAAGACTCCAAACTGTTTGAAAAACTTCTATTTATATACATATATAATATATTAGTAATCCTTTGACGAGCAGTTTGAAGAAATAGATTTCGAATTATTTCAAAAGCGAAACGCACGAGGTGGTCTACCTGCTGGCAAACTTTCCAATTTTAAGCTCAACAGCTTAACACAAGTAAATATATTTACAGTATTAGTGGGATAAGAAAACATGTATATAACAAATTTAATTGAAAATAATATTAAACGATTTTTAGAGCTTTGGTGGGCCATAGAATATTGGGCATTCAACTGAGGATAAAATAATGTTCCTGCTTGTTCTGGTTTACTAACGTTACCCTGTGTAAAGGAAATTTTCTGGTGCAATAGATTTATTGTTTTATATAGTGGCTTTGATAAAACGTTAAGCGCATAGGCAAATTTCTACAAATTTTTATTTAACCAGCGCAAGACACCTTAAATAAGTTCTATACAGTAGAGGTGGCTTCATGTTTTCATAATCTTTTTGTTACGGATTTGGTCTCAAAATTTTTCATTTTAAAATCATATAATTAAGTTTTCTATGGACAACGTTGGAGAAAGCATTGTCTTATTTGACAATAAATAACGAATTATTTATCAAACGGTAATCAAAAGCTATAACCTAACAGGATAATTATGCGACGCACTTAGCTCAAGGTATAAGAGAWAACATCAATTTAGTCAAGAATAAGAGATGAATTTAGAAAAGTTACCTTGATGTTTCCATTGCAAATCTAATATCGTTCTGAAAATACCTAAAAGAGTAAATTGGTTAAACAGGCTGTTGATGTTAGATGAATCTGAAGTGATGTTAGATCCTGAAATGAAAACATCGGACATGTGATGTTGATACTAGATAGCAACATTTTCGGCGAACTCTTTGATAGCGCCGATACAGACGATACCGCGGTCGAGTTTCAGCTGCACCCGAAAAAAGGTTGTTTTTGCAGTCAGTTGACCGAAAAATATGGCCTAAAAAAAGTAAATTTAGTCGATTTTTTAACAATGCATTGTTTTAAAATGTCATAGTTGTAGTAAAAGAAAATTATTTAAGTTTAAGTTAATCAATTTGAAATTTGCATGCAACTGTAAACTACCAGAACATCGATGTTGTCAAACATCGATGTTCTGCCTTCGATGTTTCTATACTGACGTATGTAAAAGTTGTATCTTTTAGCATGAATAAAGGAATTTGAATTTGAATTAAGACATCGATATTACCTTTCGATATCAACATCGATGGCTACTATCGATATTAGAGAATCAATGTCCCATCCCTAGTCTTAACTAATTGGAACTTTTCTCTTGCAGGTTAAGTTTAAATGTGTTATAGAATACCCTCTGTGCGGTGATAGCTCTTCATTACCTTTACATAATTTTAAATGCATCGAGATTCAAAACTAGCGTCATTACTATTAAAATTTATTTTTTTAATGGTCCCATGTTTGATTGGTAGCTTATTGGAATACTTGAGCATTCAGAAAAAAGTTACGACCTATTAATAAGAGTAAATAATTTACTCTTCTTCAATTTTTTGAAGCAAATTTACAGCGGCAATTGCTTCTTTTTCCTTATTAGGCAGGCAGATTTTGTCAAGAATAACAAGCATTTCTCAAATTGTTACTTAGTTTGATGCGTATTTAAAAAAAATCTTTAAAAGAGGTTCTGACTTTATCACAAATATAGCCTATTAGTTTCCGAATAACACCAATTTAAAGAAAAAAAAATAACTCTTGACCAAAATAAAGCACACTAAGAACTATTATTACATTTTTGAGACAATAATTTTAGACAACATTTCATATGTAGTAAAAACCGCATCATTTTAATATTTTTGTCTTTAGACGTACTTGTTCTTGCGCCTTTTACCTATGAAGCAACAGATATTTACGTAATCTTAATAAGGCAAATTACCTTGAAAACCATTGCTGCCAAATTGCGAATCTGGGCTTTGCGCTAATTTTGAATCTCCCTGTATATGTACATCGTAAATATGCGGTTTAAATGTAAAGTTCGCTGCGAGAAAATCAATTAAGTGCTCTGTTGAGAAACAATAAAATTATTACTATTATTATAGTTATTATCTTTTTATATACAGGCTTCAAGTTGTCTCAAGCTTGCTGAGCGTAAAACTTGAGACCACGAATAAAGGCAGGACAAAACATAAAACAGTTCGCCAATCAATCGTTCTTTTCAAAATAAAGTTTGATACCAAGCACTTTCATTTGTGAGACCGAAAGCAAATCAATTTTTCTTTCATTTCTAGCAATTTTCATCCGCTAGCTTTAACTTGAGTTAAAATCAATTCAATGTCCGGCAAATACTTGCGACATCTTTTCACAATGGCTGGATCGTGTCTTTGAAATTTGTGGCTTATCGAAGCGGAAGTATACAGATGGACAACATGCCAATCCCGTTTATCGGGAAGATTTTCGCTTGTAGTTTTATAGTGCACCATTTCACATTGCGTATACAGAGGGATACAAAATCCCCATTCCTCTGTAGGGACTGACTGAGGCATATGTTGAGTACAACAAAAATTGTAATCGGGACTCAATTATGATAATAACCAGATTGCCAAATTTTTCAATCAATAATTTGCAAAAAAAAAA